GAACACAATTCCAAAAATACATCCAAGTGCGTATAAGGATACTCTATTGCAAGCCCATGGAAAGTAGGAAGCATTTGGATCATAGCAGGCTTGATCTCATAATGGGTTGCATCAGTATCAGGAAATACAAAGCACGAAGGAGAAGTGTATGTGGTTGGAATAAAATGATCCCTCAATTGTGGTTGTGGAGGAACATGTGCTAATGGCCCTCTATTGCCATTACCATTGCCATTACCCGGTGCATCACGATTATCAGCCATGTTATTAGAGGAAATTCCTATTGAATTTAAATTCTTTGTAAGTTCTCTCGATTTCAGGATCATGCACTAAAGGTTCTGACTGAGTATGGTGAGTTAACATGCACAAATTCCACTAACCCTAATAGTAACAAAAATAAAATTTTCAAGCAAAAGAAAACAGCAAAAACTCACAGAAGGTTTTATTAATCGAAATTTTTTATCCCTTAAGCGTCTTTATTCTCACTGCTAATTTCCTGCACTTGAAAAGAAAAAGAATTAAGGTGAGATATCATGAATTCAGAAGACTGGTAAACCAAAAATAATAAAATAATTAAAAACTAAACAAATAAACAAATCTCCCCAGTAACAACGCCAAAAATTGGTGTGTTTTTATTTCCAATAATAAATTACCACTTGCAATAGCACGAATCTTTATAGGATAGTACTATATAGAGGGTGTCGAACCCACAAAGAGATGAGTGTACTTTGTTTTGCTTTTAACTAATATTTCTTGGTTTATAGGTAACTGGTTGAATTGATTGATTGATTGGTTGTCACGAATATAGAATGAAATTAAACTGAAATTAAACTAAAGTGATCAGAGAGAGAGAGCTCTTAGGGCTTTGACTTCACCACAACCTTCATACTATGTTTAACTATTTCAACTCTGGGATTTAACAAATTATATTTCAAATGAATTGAACTCAATAACATTCGTTCAATTCGATTTTTAAAGAAAGATGTTTTATAAATTATAGTTAACTATAACCTATCTGCGGTTAGCATGGACTATTCACCAACCTACTTTAACTACTTTAACTAGTTTTGTAAACAATCCATCTTTCCTAAGAATAGTCTATGAAAATATTCAGTTATAAAAAATATTGGAACACCATTACATGATCTCATATCCGGCAGGGCTCTGCCAGATACCGTCCAATAAGAATGGGTTGAGAATAGATTACGAACAGTTATATCTAAGATAAGGTAATAACAATTCTAAAAGTATTTAAAACATTAAAATCCAATTGAGTTATCTCAAATGCTCATAATCATGTAATCAGAAATATAATATATATTAAAAATATACCAGAGTTAAAACAATCAAACCATAGTACTTAGATCCGGTTACATCAGTGCCCTAAGAGAGGAATTAGCTACTCATGGCGATGCCGAATATCATCTGTGTTGTGGTCGTCTTCATCGTCACAGACAGCACTTCTCTTCTCAAGATCTTCACCTTCTAAGGTTATGGAAACCCTAAAAGTCACCACCACAATATCAACCTTCTGAATAATACGAGAAAAAGGGACCTCTTCTATCAAGGTCTGTGCCTTCTTTTATAGAAAAAATAATAATAATAATAAAGGTTTGCTAGGCTTTTAGGTCTTCTGGCCCATCTGGAGTGAAGTATGACTTAGAAAAGAATAATCCCCGTAACTTTAAATCTGATCTATCCTGGAAGGCTCGAGCTTAAGAAGTAAAGCTCGAGCTATGGGGCTCAGGCTCGAGCTTTGGGAACAAAGCTCAAGCTTCCTTGAATTATTGCTCGAGCTTCAAAAGATGGTGTTCGATTTCCAATTTTGTATTTAGTCAAATTTCTTCAACTATTTTCCGAAGCATCTTTTCCATCAACACTTAGAATATTTTGGGGTTTACTTCTTTTAACATTGTTTGATCCAACCTTCATAGGGCTCTAGCTTTAGGTACCAAGCTCGAGCTTTAGGTACTCAAGGCTCAAGTTTTGAATGATGGTGCTCGATCCTTGAGGTCTGGCACGAGGTCCTGAGAGCTTGGTTTTCTTTAAAATCAACTCTTCAAATTCTGACACCTCATGCTCGAGCTTGAGGGCCAAGGCTCGAGCACACTGAGGTAAGGCTCGAGCACCACTGAGTAGGGCTCGAGCTCTGGAGGTACAAGGCTCGAGCTTCAATGCCTTGCTGATTTTTCTTCTTTTTTCTTGCAAGGCTCAAGCCTTAGAACTTAGGCTCGAGCTTTGGTACTTGAATTCTTCCAAACTTCACCATTTAAGGTCTCGGCTTGCTTTAAATGACCGGCAATGACTCTGTAAGCTTCGATATTAGTCTTTTCATAATAAAGTCCCAGTTTTAACCGATTCTCAGGGAAAGTACCTATAAACACCCAATAAGCATAAATCAGTCTAATAATGGATAGAAGTATCACTTTAGGCCTTAACATACATATATTTAGGGGCTCGAATATGCAATATTCAGCGCTCATCAGTTACCTGCGGATCGATTCCAAAAATAACTATTTTTACCGGTGTGATCGGGGTGTGGATGTGTCTAAGTTATCCCATTTGTTGATATTGAATCTTACCTTAAGTTGGCATTCATGTGTATTGCAACTTGGGATCTTATTTCATTTCATTATTATTATACTTAACTACTTGAATGGAATAATGTATATTACTCTCTTGCTAGTTCTAGGATGATCCCTCTAGGAATTTTCCCTGGACTAGGCATTAAGGAGCATGTCTCATGCATTGTCCCAAGAAAACATAGTTTAATTGTGTAATTCATCATCCTATGGAGCCTTAAGTTGCTCACACTTGTTGACTTACATTTTTCAAGTAAGGGCATCATCATTGAGGATCTTTCTTGTCCTTAGTTCGTGTAAAGCTCTTATGACATTTTTGGAATTTTTGATGATGTTTTCATGCTATATGTAAAGCATTTTCGGATTGTAATATGACTTGGATATATATATATATATATATATATATATATATATATATATATATATATAAGTATTTGGGGATATGTAAAATTTTGGTGCTTACATGGATATTTGATATCGAGACAAAGGCATGTAATGAGGCCATGAGGCCATCTTAATGTAATGAATGTTATGTATCTATATAATTGTGTGTGGGGAAAGCTTTGATGCAAGGTTAAACCTTAGGATGATTTACTTAGCTCATACGTAGCTTTTTGCAACCAAACCGGCTATTTCTGGGTATTTGGGGGTTATTTGGGTGCATTTAGGCACCCCACAATTGATCGGACGCATGGGAATTGAATTTTGAGGCTTATTTCCAATTGTTGGGCAGAATGTCAGCTTCCCAAAAACCGGTCGCCCCTATCTACGACCGGTTGCCCAACTGCTCATACACTGGCTAGATTTGTTACCCGAACTTGAAACAATCATATATCCCTCGTTTTAAATCCAAATTAAGTCATTCTTGTGCTCAAAATGACTGCCTTGAAACCATCTTTTCAATGATACCAATCTTATCCCATGATTCCGGACATAGATATAGTTATACTCATTTTAGTGAAGGCTGGTCATGTTTTTCACATATAAAAAATGCCAATCTGTAACAGAACCATTCCCGAAGGGCCTAGAACCTCATAGCTTGTTAATATATGTTTAGTATGACATTAATGGACCTAATTGGGACTTCATTCAAGGTCACATTAGCCATGTAGGCTAATGTGGGTTGTAGCTTCCGCATTGGGGCTCAGTTTTTGGGTCGGGTTACAGGCTATCCATTCATGCACTGGGTCATCTAAATTCAGGGTGTGACAGACGGTCTCCCACACCTTTGTTGTGGTCCCTCCTGGGAGACGTGGCCCCATTGTCATCACGCCTAAAGTCTTCAAGGCACTCCGTTATAGCCATGGTGGATGCCAAGTCTCTAGGCTCCCTCCTTTTCCATTTTCGACTGCTACAAAAGGGGAATGGGCATATCTAAGAGCCTCTCAATCTCCACCATCAAGCTTTGTGGCCACCCAAGACTATAACCCATCTATGAACAAGCATACGTGTTGCCGCTTTGGCATCTCTGGGGTCTCCAACATCAAGTTGGAGTTCTCCTTCACGTACACCCTAATGATGCCCTTCTGCTTCAAGTGCCTTAGGTTGATCATGGCGAGGTACTCGACGCACTTGGGGTAGAACTGCCTCTTGAACTCCTCCCATGTGTAAACTGCTCTCGCGCTCCTGCCGATGAAGCACTGCATCCACTATAGAGCGGCAATGCCTATGAGGTACATAGTGCCTGTCTACACCTTCTCCTCATCGTCCTCGATGTCCATGCACTTGAAGTACCGCTCCATATGCCAGAAGATGTTGTCAATCTGGTGCGCATTCATTGCCACCTCATACTCCTTGGGCTCTAGCGCCTTCTTCTTCCGCGGCTTCACCACGACCTCGTGCGCTTGCGAGAACTCTTTGCACTTGGCAATCTCTATGCGCAAGTCATCTACCCAGTCATGCAATTTCTTTTTCCTTCTCTCACACCTTGATAGCCATGCTGTCAATCAACTTGTAGAGATCTATGATCTTGTTCTCGGGTCTTGACAACTTTGTCTCCATGTAAACCACGTGGGTAGCAAGCTGTTCCTCCAAGGTCTGCTCCATGACATGGACTCAGCAGTCTCCTGTGTTAGCGATGCCTACTCCAACAAGGTTATGTTCCCTTGGGCAGAACCTCGCTCTGGTGTACCATCACGGACTCGTTTTGGCACTACTCAAGCCAAACCCGTGCGGCAGGCATTGCTTTATTCACTTCTTTAATAATAATAATAATTTTTTAAAAATTAAAAAACTGGCAACCTTTTGATGCTTATATTGCATCATGATTTGTTCATTTGTCATAAAGCTCTGCAAGGCGTTGTGAATTGCATAGTGCATGTTGATATAAAACTATGCCTGGATGTATTTATCATAAATCGCAAGTGAAAAACATTTGTCATAAAAATCATAATGAATGATGCAAGATCAAATAAGTGCCTCTTGCAATCGAACCAATACTAATTCACATTTTCCTTAAGCCAAACGAGATGCACAATGTTCTTCGGGGAAAAAATAATAACATCCCAGAATCGTTTAGATGAACTATGTTCCTTGGTTCTGCCACAAAACAAGTATTTTGGCGGCACACATGTTAACGCACAAACAGTGTCATGCAACACATTTTGAGATTAAACTGAAATACAAACACACCATCATGGCTGAAGGTTACCCCTTGTACAGCTGATCGTGCAACCACTACCACAAACTCCATTGAAAACAGAGAATTCCAATCATGGGTGCTCGAATAGCTGGCAATCTTTGTCATGACTCCTGCTTCGTTCTTCAGTAACAAAGTGTTGCACAACAATGTCACAGTACTTCAAGCGCCTTCTTTTGAGCCAGGCAATCTGTCATTCAAGAAATCCATAGCAATTCAAATTCTTTCATTCCTTAAAGTCCATAAAACTGAAATTACAAGTAGAGGTCATTTGAACCGGTCAAAATAAAAAATATTTTGTTGCTGCAATCTCCAAGTGACGCATTTAGTATAATACTGTATAATAGAACGGTAAAAGCTCAGATGGTTGTGAATATGAGTCCAATCTTAAAGACAGGACAGCTACTTCATGCCCTAAAGTTGAAACTAAAAGTTAAAACTGCTAGAACCAGTCAACACAAGTCCCCTTTGTTATTCCAAGCTCAAAGAGGCACATTTTACCACTTACAATAGAATGGTAAAAGCTTCAGATCATGTGAGAAAGTGATTCGAGCTCAGGCAACAACTTATACCAGAAATTACATCCATACTTAGTTTACCCATCGGAACACTCCACATTGATGAACCCTGATGCCTCTATGAGAACTTGAACCCTTAACCTTCCACTTTAGAAGCTATAGGGAATACCAATGAACTACTACCCCTGGTGGTGGTTCACTACTACTAGGTAAAGGCTTTATTTTAGCATATATGAGAAGTTAGATCTATAGTTAATCTCAGTCTACTACCCCTGGTGGTGGTTCACGCATTTGGAACCGTTCATCAGAAAACAGTCAAATTTATGAATCTTCCAAATTCATGATCATAAACAGAAATAAAAAGGAAAAGAAGTGTGTCCATACTGAGTAGTTGAATTTATCAGAGTTGGTAGACTTTAGTGACTTATCAGTTATCACCAAATGTGTATTGTTTGAACTTTGAAGATATTAATAGAGGTCATGCACATAGCACTTTCTGTGATCTTCACTGCTTTCACCAGCACCAACTTAACTTTTTAGTTATTTATTTGTCTGTATGCATCACCACACCAAATGTTAGCAAATACCATCAAGAAGTTCAATAATATTCAATTTTGTACAAAAAAGAAAAACAGATAAGAGGAAATGTTACACAATGGGGAGCAAAGGAGCAGACAGTGGATCAATAGAGGGCAAACCGCCTAACATTATTCAGGAGTTGTAGACCTCCAATCAGTCCATCGTTTCAGCCCTCCAACTAAGCTCCGTGTTCTCCAAACATTGCAAATAAAAATTAAAAACCACATGGTTTTCTTTGTAACATCTTAAAAAAGTTTTTTTTAATTATTAAAAGAGAATAGAAGATCGATTCAAAAAGATATTCACTATATATAGGGGGGGGGGGGGAGAGAGAGAGAGAGAGAGTTACTTGGATAATGCTTGCAGATCAGATTGTTTGTTATTAAAGCTGTGGTGTTTACTTGCTTCTTGGGCCTTTCAGGGATTAATAATAGATCGAGATTCAGTAATAAGGAAAAATAATACTTATCTGTTCCTGTTAAAATTTAAAATTCAAAAACGAAGAGCTGAAAATGATAGTTCAATTTTCTATAACAGTCACTTTTCCATAGCAGTTGGAAACTTCATCAAGATAGCTCAATTTATCTGCAGTTACTCTTCAATGTGGTCAGTACCCAATAAAATCATCCCATGACAGGCAAAGAGTAGGACCCTTCTATAATTGTTGAACCAAGAGGGGGAGGGGGTGAATTGGTTCTTCTACAATTTCTTTTCTGACTAATGAGAGCTTATGTAACTTGTTTGATGAAATGTCACCACCACAGTCCACTCTTGACAACAGGATTTTTTACAAAGGAAAATCCCCCTCAATAGGGTTAAAAAACCTTGGTTCCTGGCAGCCAGTGTAAATCCACTAGTTGTGTTGCAAGATGATACACACTATCTCAGACTCTACCCACACCCTTGTACAAGTTGAAACCCTAGCTTTCTCACTCTCTGCACACACACCCTAGCTCACTGCAAGTTCACTCAGAACTCGCATTATCCACAGCACCCCTGTGCTTGGACTCTCTCACCAATCTCATGTACAAGTCGCTCTTGCTCTCTCCCGTGTCCTAAGCACCCCCATGCTTGGACCACACAACAATCACTCTTGCACTCCCCCTGTCCACAACATTCCAATGCTTGGACCAAGTACTCACAATTGTCACTCACAAAAAAATATAGCTAATGATGCCTCTCTAGTTATATAAGATATCAATGAATAAATATATAACTAAAGACTAAGATTCACAGCCCTTACTCCAAACGTGAACGTTGAGGAAGATGATATGATTGTAGTTCACCCTCTATCCAAGCTTAGAGTGATTCACCACGGCTCCATTAGGTTGAAATCCATTTTCTCCATAATATGAGTCATATAGCAAATGAGAACCAAACCCACGTTACTTAAGCCCTTGAGACTTGAAGCAGCTCCTATGAATGTGATTGAATAATAAAGCTTGAACAAACCATTTTAAGACCCACCAAAAGAATGTCCATCTTTGAAGTACTTGGATCTTCAATTTAAGCTCACTGATCTTCTTCAAACTCCCAAACCTGTTCGTTGGAGTTCTTCACTGCAGTTTGGTTGTTGCTGGCTGGTTCTTCACTGTCCTTTATCTGCAAGACCCAACTTCCATTAACACAAATCCACCCAAACCTGGTCTTCATGTTGATATGCCACTGAAGCTCTGCCCGGGCAATCTAGAGCACACTGGAACTACTGGGTCATCAACTCGGTCTCTGAAGCTTTACCAGTTGGGTCGCTTGAGGCTCAGCGACCAAGCTTTGGATGTAAACTTTGTTGGGTCACCGGACTGAACTAAGATTTAAACACTTCGCCAGGAGCTGTTTGTGTTGTAGCTCTGTGTTCACCGGCAATAATGGAGACTGTTGCTCGGATTTTGGTTACAAACATTTGGAGCTGTTGCCGGAACAGAAGTTTGTCAGTCTGAAACAAAGGAAGCTTGCCAGACTGAAGCTTCTGGAATGAACTGCACCGGACCTGGACTGAAACTCGCTGGAGCTGGTATATGTTTGAATGGAGCTGAGGCTTTCTCTGCACTTGCACAGACTGAAGTTCACTTGGACTGGGGTTTACCGAAACTGTTGCTCTCTGGCGTTATACCTATGCGCACTCATTGGCTGTGTCTCTGATACTCACCGTTGTTCGGATCAACTGAACTGATTGAAACTCTCACAATCATAGCCGGTTGTCTCTGTTTGGTCTTCAATAGATGAACATCACAAAGGATATCTCAATGAAGTTTACCATTGGTTCATGAGGTTGCACAGATCAGTTGAGTAGACGCTTGATTCTCTTGGTCTGATTTCAGCACTCAAGCTTTCTCTATTCATATTATCAATGAAGCACTGACCCTCTGAGCTCTCTTCTCAAATCCTTCGACCCTCAAACCTCTCTGTATTTTCTTTCTTTTCTCCGCCGACCCAGTGCAAGCCCTATCTTCTTGATAATGACACAAGATTATATAAGTGGACCAAAACCTTGCAGCCGTTAGATCAGTAGTGGATACATATCTTGATGTTGGTCCTTGTTTGACTCCAAGGATTATTCACAGCTGCTTGATCACTTTAACACATTGACCAATTGGATTAAATCATTTGGATGTTCACACAGTAGCTATCAACAGCACAATAATCTCAGCCAATAAAATATTTGAACAAGTTGAATCTCAGCCGTTAGATCAAATGATGCTTTGGAGCTGTTTGATGATCCACTATTTTAATCCATCTATCTGAGCAATTGACCTCTGTGTAGATATCTGCATATTGGAAATGACTAGAGGTCCCTTGAGGAACTGTTAGTGTATATCATCTATTTTAGACAATATAATATGATGCATTTTTCCACATAGAAACCATGGATTAAACCTGACTGTATAATAATTGTATTTTACCACAATTACTAATATGTGGATGAAAGCAATGGACTAATATGGTTCATCAAAACCATCAGAATAAGCTCCAGAAAAATAAAATAAAATATGTCAAAATCAATGCTGACCGTATACTCGTAATGCCACTACAAGCCTGTCATTAAAAGGACCTTGATGCATGCTGACTCTTTGCTGTTTCCTTCAGCACAGCGCCAACAATTGCTGCCTGCTCAAGGCATTCAGCCTTATGCAATGCATCCAAAAGAACAACACAAGTTTTGGTATAAACATTACGGCCTCTCAAGCGAGTTTCCTCAAATAGTGTATATGCTTCCATTGCTCTGTTTGAAATGCTCAACCCTTCTATCATAGTATTGTAACAAGCAGCATCAGGTTTACCACCATTTTCCTTAAACCTTTCAAAAAGCCCATTAGCCTCTGATATATTTCCAGCCTTGGCAAGCCCAGAAATCATTGTTGTATAGGTGATCATATTGGGTTTTAACCCTTGCTTCTGCATCTCCTGCCAAAACACAAACGCCTTGTTGAATTTTCTAACCCTGCAAAGACCATTTATGAGGATGCTGTAAGTTATGGAATTGGGAGTGCATTTCTTCAGGTCCTTCATGGAATTAAAGCAAACAAGCGCTTCATTAATTTCCTCAGCCTTAACCAGAGCATCAAGTAAGCAATTCCATGTGTACACATTAGGTGTTAAACCTTTTTGCATCAACTCTTCCATGATTAGGTATGCCTCATCAATTCTACCCACCTTCCCGAACCCATCAATAAGACTACTATATACAACTACATTTAACTCCACACCCTTTGATTTTGCTTCTTCAAAGAGCATGTAAGCTTCATCAAGCCTGTCAATCTTAGCAAGCCCATCAATAACAGAACCATAGGTAACCACAGTGGGTTGGTGACCCTTCACCTTCATTTCCTCCAGCAGCTGGTAAGCTTTGTTCACTTTGCCTGATTTGCAGAATCCATCGATAACAGTGTTGTAAGCAAGGGTATCCAAAATACAACCCTGTTCTTTCATCACATAAAACAGCTCATAAGTCTCTCGTGCAAAACCTGCTTTTGTAAGTCCATGAATTAGTATAGAATAACTCCGCACATCCGGGACGAACCCCAGAGCCTTAATTTCCTCAAACAAAGCCCTGCCTTTTTCAGTTTCACCGGCTTTGAAAACACAATCCATGTAAGTATTGAGGAGGGTTAGGTCAGGAGAAATGCCCCTACGGACCATTTCTTTGTAGATTTTGTGACCATCATCTTTCCTGCCAGACTTAAAAAAGTTCCTGATGAGGGATGTATAGACAATAGCATTTGGAATCCGGTCAGAATCTAACATACGTTCATATAGTCTGTAAGCATCATCTACTTTGCCATGTCTGCCCAAACCCTCAATCAGGGAACAAAATGTAACTGCATCTGGGGTGCAAACTTTATGATCCATCCCTTCAAATATAGAACAAGCTTCATCAAGTTTCTGAGCCTTACACAAGCGATCAATCATTATGTTCACAGTTAAAACATTAGGAAACAAGCCAGCTTCTTTCATGGCATCCCGAATCTCCAGAGCAGCTTCCAACTTCCCTCCCTTGCAAAGCATGTCCATAAGAATATTGTAGGTCGAAAGATTAGGCACTGCATCTTTTTTCATCTCCTCAAATATCCTCAAAGCCTCATCCACCCTGCCCTTCTTTCCAAGGCATGTAAGAATACAATTATATGCAATCACACTCGGAATGCTCCCTTTTATTTTTTGTCTCTCAAGTAAGTTGTATGCTTCATCAAACTTTCCAGCAGAGCCATAACCCATTATCATGGTGTTATAAGCATATGCACAAGGGACTTTCCTATTAAGTTCCATCTGCTCAAATAGCTCCACAGCTTCATCCAGTCTATTAGCTTTCCAAAGGACCCCTATCATACTGGAATATGTCACATCATCATGCATAAGACCATGCACTTTCATCTCATGAAAAAATTTCCAGGCCATGTCCACTTTACCTGCCTTGCCAAAGCAGTCAATACAAACATTATAGAGAACAAGATCTGCATCAAATGAGTTTCTCTTCATCTCATCTAACAGAGAAAGAGCAGCATCAACCCGACCCTCCTTGGCAAATACACGAATAAGAGTTGTGAACAAATGCACATTTACTTCGTAACCTAGCTCCTGCATCTGATGAAAGAGCATGAGCATGAGATCAGGTTCATGAATTGCAGATAGAGCACCAATTAGAGTTGTATAAGCTGAAAATGCAGGGCGGAATTTGCACTTTCTCATGGATTGTATAAAATCGAATGCTTCTCTCAGCTTCTGAGACTTAACACAGCTGACAACTAACTCAATACATGTGCTATTAGATGGACCAAATCCAGCAAGACTCATTTCCTCCAAAATCTGTTCAAGACAACAAAAATTTTTACCCCTACACATTACCATAAGAAGAGAATTGTATGCTTCTGGACAATGTGCTTGGTTGGTTTTTCTCTCAGTCCAACGAAAATAGTTTACCGCTTGATCAACATTCTTCAGTCTCTTTAGAACTCGAATCACTAAATCTGTTTGAGCTATTTCATCAAATGTAGATAGAGTTTCCTCTAAGTAAGGTCCCCAAGGATGGATTTCCAAGATCCTGCACACATCATCAACTCGTTTTCTTATCCCTTCCAATGTTTTTAAATTTCCTTGATTTGCCCCCTCCACAGAAGAAAGAGCTCTCCCATCCAGATCAGAAGTCCCATTGCCTGAAGATGAGAACTTCTTAGAAAATGATAATATGCAATGGCATTTCCTCTTAGAGTGAATTAGTATTCCTGCATAACCAAATAAACAACAAAAAAATGCACCCAACTCAGAATCCTAACAAAATAGGTGGAGAGGCTGAAAAAAACAACTACCTGAACAGACAAATTTCGAAAACTTAATCTACAGCCTACTGATATCAATTACCACCCAATCTACCCACTTCCCTTAAACTAACAACACCCACGGAAAATATTAAAATACTATTTCACTAAGTAACCTTGCAACTTTGAGAACACATTAATTTTGGTTTAAGACTTTTAAGTAGACCATCTCAACCAACATAAGGAAGTTTACTGCGCGAGATGGAGCAAGAGACAATTATCAACAGTAACTATGGTTAAAGTGATGAATGAGATCTACACGTAACACACTTGAATCCAAGGTTGGAAAATCCTTGAAATTATAAACTAATTTACTCAATATCCATGTAACCACTATACCTCGGCCTCTTAAGAGCATCTTCATCCTTGCATGTTTGAGCTACTTCTATGTCCTTTATTCTCCGTATCTGTAAAAAGTAATATTGAGAAGTCAATTGAGTATTTCATAGACAGCCTACCAGAAAGAACAGACAATGGCCTTGCAACAATTTATTATTCAATTGCATATGCGGGCAAACACACACAAATATAAGATTTAAAAATAAGGCAGGGAATGTGTATTACCAACAAAACAGAGAAAGTCTGCAAGGGACCTTATTTTTCGTCTTTCAGCAACCATGTTTTGTACGTATGTCTATATATGTATATGCATTCATCTAGATTATATTCACACTCGGATGGTAGTGTAATCAGCTATACGAGCTAAAGTAACCCGCTCGTACTTTCTTTGATTGTAGATAAATTCAGGGAAATGATATAGTTCAAAGATTACATTTTTTTAATGTATCCTATTTGTTTTTGGTCATTGAAAAAATTAGAATTATCTGCACAACTAAAACAAGTATTTGAATTAGTTCAAAGATTGTATTATTACTATTATTCTTTTTAACGTTTTCTATTATTTTGGTTATTAGAAAAAGTGGAGTTATTTGCACAAGTAAAACAAGTATTTGAATAAGCTCCAAGACAATTGAAATTTTAGATTCATAATCATGTGATTCTTATCAAATAATGAGAAAGTGGAAAAAAGAAAAGGTAAATATTGATGCATGAGAGTCTTTCTTTACTAAGCCATATGCACCTTAAAAATGTAATTATATGATTTTTTTATTTTTAAAACTTTTCTTACCTGGGATATGTTGCCAACTTGCTCCATAACTATTAAAAATTCTTCAATGGTGTTATGGGAATCATAAACAACCTAAAAGTGGCTCCTAACCAAATTTACGCCATCACCTCTTATTTATATTAATTTCAATGCTTTTTTTTTTTTATAAGTAACTTTTTTAAAAAAATTAGTGTATTTTTTTTTTTTTTTTTTATAAGTAAAAATATATTAGAAAAACGTTCAAAAGGGGAACGCGTCCCTAATACACAAAAACGAAAGAGCAAAAGCCAAACCTACGGACCAACAGAGTCCAATAGAACAAAAAAGTCATCGATTGAGGAGCAAGCGCTGCCTCTAACATAACAAAAAAGAGAGCGTAGAATAAAAGACTTAAGGTTTGCAAAAGAAGATTCCTTCCCTTCAAAGTTTCTATTATTTCTCTCTCTCCAAATACACCACCAAACACAATATGGGGCGACCCTCCAAAAATCACGAGCATGACCAGGGCATCTTCTCCAAGAATTAATTAATTGGAAAGAGTGCTTAGGCATTACCCACTGAACGCCAAAAATACTGAATATGAGATTCCAGCAATCAGATGCAACAGGACAATGCATTAAAAGATGGTCCACGGACTCACCATCATTTTTACAAAGACAGCACCAATTAACAATGGTATTACCTCTCTAACGCAAATTATCCAATGTTAGAATTTTTCCCCAGGTGGCAATCCAAACAAAGAAGGCAACTCTAAGAGGAGCTTTAGAGCGCCAAATACACTTCCATAGGAAATCACATCCAATAAAATTAGACAAACACAAGAACATGGATCGAACTTCGAATCTAGCATGAAGAGAGCGAGTCCACAAAATATCATCACAACCTCTGCCAACATCCTTCTATCTATACAACAGGTCCAAAAAGACGCAAACTTCAGCTATCTCCCAATCCTGAAAGGAACGCCTAAAACGCACATCCCACATAACTCCACTGTTATCAAGATGATAACAGTCAATTACGTAAGCATGCTTATTCTCAGCAATGCTAAAGAGGCGAGGAAAAGAAAGAGACAACAACAATGCTTAAAATTTTTTCTTAAATTTTGTTATAATTATGCAGTTTTTTTTTTTTTTTTTTTGCTTTGTCATGCAAGGAAACCATCTATATATATACATATTGTGCATGGTTTCCTGCACGGATGGGCTAATTGAACTGCTCCACAATGCAAATTGACACATTGCATTAGCCAAGTCAGGGAAGATCCAGCATTTTACATGTGACGATATTCCTCCTTCAAAATGGCGAGACCATCGCAGGGGACCATAATGCATATCTGCATTGAAGAAGCCAAAATCCTAATGGCGCCTCTCATCGAAAAACTAATTTTCTTATCCTAATGGCACCTCTCATCTTTTCTTTGGAGTGACAGCTGTGTGTTATGGTTTTTTATTATGTTCTTTTCCTTTTAAGAGAATACAATTTCTTTTTCTTTTTCTTTTTCTTTTTCTTTTTGACTTTTTTATTATTATCTTTTTCCTCAAGGAGGTTAGAATTTCTATAGATGGTTTAGCGAACATTTATTTTTATATTTTTTTCCAATTTTCTTATTATAAAATTTTAATATTTCTCATAGAAGTAGTATAAAAAGTAAACTTTTCTAGTGAATTCATTTATATTCTAAAGTTAATTAATATACGTATAGTAGTAAGGAACTCAAAATCATTAACAAAAGTCAGTCAAATTTTATATTAGTTATTATTTATTTATCTATTTTTGGTGAAGTTCAAGTTAAATATTGTTTATTCTTTGATATACTTTATTGGGTAGAGGAAGAATTTATTTATAAATGGAAGGATACGATTGCTTGGTAGGAGATTATTGGTTTGAGAATTAGATTTATAGGAATTATTTGGGGTGGGGTTGGTGCAATTCATCAGTACAGACAGCAATCAGCTGGCCAAAATTATGCACCAATGGAAGCATGGCCCCTCTCTGCCTCTCTAAACTCATCTTTGGTTACCTTTTAATATCAAAACATGGTTGCTGAAAGACAAAAATAAGGTCCCTTGCAGATTCTCTCTGTTTTGTTGGTAATACACATTCCCAGACTTGTTTTACAATCTTATATTTGTGTGTTTGCATATGCAATTGAATAATAAATTGTTGCGAGGCATTTATGAAAAATACCCATCTGAAAACAGAGTGCCCAAAGATTAGTAGATCTTAGAAGAGCTAGCTCCACTCGAAAAAATCGAGTTCTAATGCCTGATCTTGCAAGCTAAATTAGCAGTATTTTCCAGTAGTTGAGTCTATAGTCATCTCCCTCAAGAAAAAATAAATACAAGCAACAAGGCAGAGCTTAGAGGATTAGAATTGTTGAATTTGAAATTTAATTTCCATTAGAAGCAGTTCAACTGCTCAGCAAATTCCGATAATTAGAAGATTGGTCTATATGATTGAAAATGACATGAAAACAAATTTGATCAGCAAAGAAAAACATTCGTAGAACAAATGACCATGATATTAGGAGGAACTTAAATTGCTATGACAATCAACAATTGGAGGAATTTTTCCATGGAATTTCGGTCCTACCTTGCAATCTCCTTGATTATGATTTTCTAAACAACCACACAAGTAGTTGATACTCTTTTGGTTGAAGAATCAAAATGGCTCTCTGTGACTCTAGATTTCATACATGTTAACACCAAAAGAGGAAAGACTGCTTGAGAGTTGTGTCAACCAAAAGGTCTCTAGTTTCTTAATTTCCCACTTCATATATATAAATATATATATATAGATACACACACTTGGAGAAGTACTCACAGTTATAGGGTAACCTATTATATGAAATACAATACAAAACATGATATATATACATATACAAGACAATCATCAATGCCGTTGTTGGAATCTATAATCCTGCGATGAAAATGAAAGAAGATAAAGAGTACTAGATATTGACTGGAACTATTGCAGCCTCCATAAGAAATTCGATACAAAACCCTAATCAGCTCAAAACAGCCAGAGAACCAAAATCTCTTTCAAATAACAAAAACTCGAATACCCACAACAGAAAAGCTCTAAATTCACATCCAGCAACACGATTCAACACAAAACAATCAAAATTTGACCTAAAATGAAGAAACCCAGATCCAAAATGTTCAGACGAAGAATCCCAAAAAACCCAAATCACATTACCAGATTTAGAGAGAGGGATACTAACCCGGAGAGAGATACTAAGCCAGATGTGTGATTCAATCCTCCATGAGAGACCCTTTGCGAACGAGGAACTAGGGTTTCAGTCGAATAGGCCTTGAATCGCCTCACACTAGGTGAGGCAGCAGAGAGGAACGAGAGGCAGAACAATGATTTTGCAGCTCAAAACCTAAGAACCGTGGTCGCCCAAATCGCCCCCGAGCAACTGTGCGAGAAGAGAGTGAGGGTTTCAGAAAATTGGAGCTTATATATGAGATGCTGGCTACAGTAACCTGATATAAGTATGTTACTAGTTTGGGTTTAGTTTCCTCCGCTACAGTGTCAAAACATAACAATATCACCAATTTGGTGATATGGGACACTATCTTATCTCTGTGATATGATCGGAATGGGCTCAAAAGACTTAAGATTCTAGGCTTCACATTCTCATTTGGTGTTTAAAAGTTCTGTGTACCCACTAAGCATAAGCATATGAATTGATTTGGGTATTTTCTACAAGAATAAATTTTGGTTAGATAGTTGAAAATAGTTTTCAATACACATGGCCATCTTAGTCAAATTTCTTGAATTTCATTTCCAATACGTACACAGTTTCATCCTCTTACCAGTTACTACAGAATATATGAAGTTTTTTTGAAATAATGAAATGAAACTATTATGAAATACGGAAGGCAGAGAATGGAAAGAATACTCAACATACCGTGAATAGGACTCGGTCATGCAAGTTTTGGAAAGAAAAACCTTGATCCGGTGGCACAACACTGGTTTTGCAGACCAAGAGCTGGAATTCGTGGTCGCGAACTACCTCACAATAGGTGAGATAACAGAGAGAAACCAGAGAAACAATAGGAAGAACAATGGGTATGGAACTCAAAACCTTGAACCGTGGTCGCACAACGATTGAACTTTAGCTTTTAGTCGAATCGCTTTTATCAAATCGCCTCGCACAATGGCACGAGAAGAGAGAGAAATGGGAGGCACAATTTTGGGGTTCAGAAATTTGGGCCTCGCTACAGTGGTCTGATATAAGAATGGTTTTGTTTTGGGCTGAGTTTTTGAGCGCAGTGCCCAAACCAAAGTAATATCACTAATTTTGTGACATGGGTTTGTACCCATTTACCACCGGGCAAGTACAGACAATACTCCTAATGTGTATACATGTAGCAATTTTATTCCCTATTTAAAAAGTATGCAAAAAGTACTCATATTCTTTTCACATTATGGAGAAACACCCCTCAATCAAAAAATCTGAAATAAATTAGTGTTGTTATACTCGTTTTGCCCTTTTACTTTTCTGAAAATGCCAAGGGGTATATACGCTACTAATCTCATAGTAGAAAGTTCAAGGCCGGCCCTGAGATTCCAAATATTTTGAGAGGCCCTAGGCGAACTTTCAAATGTGAGGCCCTTAAGGTTCACACACGCAGAAAAAAAATTATAAGAGTGCGAAATTTTCACACGATGTTTTCAAATTCTATAGCTAATATAATTGTGCGCCTGTGCATTGTGCATAAGACAACTAACAAATAACTATAAATTTATCACCACCAACAAATAATTGTGCGCCTGTATAGTGTGCATAAGACAACTAATTAATAGCTATAAATCTATCACCACCGATAAAAAATTGTGCGCCAGTGCAGTGTGCTTAAGACAACTAATTAATAGCTATAAATTTTTATCACCACCAATAAATAATTGTGCGCCTGTGCAGTTTGCATAAGACAACTAATTAATAACTATAAATCTATCATCACCAATAAATAATTGTGCGCATGTGCAGTGTGCATAAGACAACTAACTAATAACAATAAATCTATCAATTAAAGAGTGCCAAATTTTCACATGCACAAAATAAAAAATGAAGAGAACAGTTTACTAGAGAACAGAAAACTGCAGCTTCTTTTACATTCCTTGTTTATATAGCTACTAAAATTTGATGATTACAGATGACAAAAATATGTGGAGATGAGGTGACTATATATATTATAGGAGGCTGAACTTGTAGTACTGAAGAAGTAGTGGGACTTTTAGGTTATATGTGGCATCCACTATCATATATAGTTTTGTCTTTCACTCTTTGTATTAACTACAGTACACTTTGTGTTTGTTTTTTTTTTTGGGAGCTAATTACCCCTTTCTTGATTTCAGGATGAGGAATCAACTTTAGTAGCAGTGATTGGTTGATCATTGCTACAGAAGACCTGTGAAAATTAATAGAAAAACCATTAACTTTTGTTTTCTTAAAGCCTGCTCTTGATTTCCATGTGTTTGTACATTCTGATGGCAAGTGCTTTGATAGTATTATTAACTGAAATTCTAGCTGAGCCAACTTCAAATAACATCAATAATGGTGGTATGTATCTTCATATAAAAATAAAATATAAACAAACCCTTAATTTGGCATTTTTAAGTATGAGCATAATTTAGAGATCGAAAAAGTTAATTATTACCTCAAAGGCTCAACCCACTAGAAGGGATCCTTAATTTTCATAGGACTGAAGGAGAAAATGCAAAAAATTATGAGGAAAAGGAGTATGGTTGCTGCTGTTGTGAGATTGGAGTGGAATTAGGGAGAGGAAAAAAAAAGTACCTGCCATAGATTATGGACTCGATCGCCATGAAAGACACATGTAGAAAGGCACACATTTATTAAAATACTAAGAGAACCATAATATATTCATTCAGCTTTTGATAGCCATCGCACACAGTGACACACACACACACACACACACACACACACACAACAAAAAAAAAAAAAATCCTAGTTTGGAAACTACTTTTCACTATTGGAACAAAGGTAAAGGCCCGACTCAAATGAACCAAAGTTAGAACAAATCCAATGATAAGATGAACGAAAGAAAGAAACATATATAAAAGATCGATTCATGCAAAAGGAGAGAGAAGAGGATTAACATACCTTGTCACCTCAGGCGATAGCGGCGGCTGCGCCCAGCGGAGTGTCGAAGCAGATTGTGTCGTCTGACACTTGCCCTAACTTATGTTTTTTTATTTTTATTTTTTTCAATCCCCTATGGGCCTCAAAATTTGACGCCTCTAAAATTTGAGGCCGAAGGCGACCAAAACTTGTCCTAACTTAAATTTTTTTTTTCCATCCCCTATGGGCCTCAAAATTTGAGGCCCAAGGCGACCGCCTTGGGCCAGGATATTTTGAGGCCCAAGGCGACGGCCTTGGGCCATGACCGCCCCTAAGAAAGATTTATGTGCACTTGAAATGTAATATTATTTTTTTTATTATTGAATTCTTTATAATTATTAGCTTTGGAATTATTAAATTCTGATTCTTTACTAAATTATTGCACATGAAATACAATAATTAATTATTTATTTATTTCGGGTATGAAATTGTCGAACATTTTCTATGATATATATTTTTAAATTCAATTTCATTTGAAATTCTTTTTTTAGTTCAACATAAGGAATCCTAGCTTAAATACAAAAATTGTGCCAAAATATATACATATATATATATATGCATATTGAGGGTATAAATAAAAAAATAATTTATTTATTATTGCATTTCATATGTAATAATTTTGGTAAAGAATCATAATTCAATAATTCCAAAGGTAAAAATTATAAAGAATTCAATAATTCTAAATATATATATATATATATATATATATATATATATATTGCATTTCATGTGCACATAATACCCCTTTACTATGAGATTAGTAGTGTATTACCTCTTGTGGGGTTGGTTGCACAAAGTCCTTTTCAATCATTTTACAAAATGATTTTTTTTTATATTTTTTATAAAATGTCAAAGTAAGGGCATTTTAGTCTTACTCTATTTTAACTATGTTGGTAGGACCTAGGCCCCACCCCCCAGACACTGTAACAAAATCAAAACACCTAAAACAATAACATATCACATACTAGGGGTGGTCACGGATCGGATCGATTCAGATTAGGTATCAATCCTAATCCGATCTCCTCCCGATGGATTAGAAAAATTTTAATCCGCCACCAATCCGTTATCCCATAGCTCGGACCAGATTCGTAGAATGACGAATCAGATCCGATCGAATCAGCAAATTAAGATTTTTCTTAAATTGTCCAATATTATTTATTTTTAATCATTGCCAAATAGATTAAATTTCAATCTATCAACATTAATTCATATATTTAAAAGATCATTAACTAATATATTCTTAGAGTTCATTAAATATTAACTAATTAAATTAATTAATACATTCTTTGAACATATATATAAATCTCATGGATCGGATCGAATTTTAACAAACCAATCCGTGATCCGATCCGTAAGTTACGAATTCAATATTTTTTAATTCGTCACCGATCCTTGGACATAGTAATTCGATCAAAACTGCATGGATCGGATCGGATTCACGAATTATTTGCCCACTCTTATTACATACTCTATAATTTGTTGTCGATTTTCTCACATTCCAGTCCCCCATCCTCTCTTGTTCTATATAATATCTATATCTATATCTATATACTATTATAAAAGGGTCAAGTGCAAAAAACACCCTTATAGTATGCTTACAGTGCATATTGCACCCCTCCCGTGCAAATTAAAAACATCAATAAATTATGACATTTGTGCAAATAGGTCCTATTTATAAAAATTAGACTAAAATGCCCTTAGCAACACATTTTATAATATATATATATATATATATATACACACACATATATACACTGACATATATATATATATATATATATATATATATATAGTGGAGAACCACCACCAGTCCCAAGAAAGCCTCTTTTGAGCATATGTGGTTGAAGCTGATTCTCTTCTTTTGATCCACTCTCTGTCTTCCTTTGCTTCTTTAGAAAGGGGGTTTATAAAGCAGTCCAATTATTTTGACAATCATGACTTCTATGATATCTTGGCCTTTGATTAATGCCACTTCCCATCCGATGAAGGCACAACCTTTTTCCATCCTTTTTGCGTATGCTATACAGCTAGGAGTTCAAATTGGATACGTCGACGCAAAGAGGTGCTCAGCGCTGATGGATCTGGCGGGCGGTGGTGACAATGATGGTTCGCGGCAGAGAGCGTGGAACGGTGGCTGGCGAACAAGGGAGGGCTCAACGGTGAGATGAACTGCAAGCAAGGAAGAACTGAATCGGCCGTGAGCTTGATGGGTCCGATGAGGGATGCGATTTTCGACAGCAATGGTCGAAGCGACGGACAGAGACTTGTAAAAAAATTGCGAGTCCAGCGGTGGTTGATTTGCAGATCTTCGGACTGGGTTTTTGGGTTGATGGCAGTGATGACTTGGGTTTGATTTTGCAAAGAACACATACCTCTCTGGCAGCCTCTACCCGACCGTCCCCAACCTCCACCTTTCCCTCTGTGACCTTGGCATCAACAATGGTAGGGGTATTTTGGAAGAGTAAAAGGGTAAAATGGATATTATATTAATTGGGGAGTGTTTTCGCACAAATTGAAAAGAATAGGGGTATTTTTTTCACACTTTTTTAATAAGATGTAAAAATACTATGAGAGATATATTTCAGGGTATGCACTTACCCCATTATTAAAAGTACAAGAAGTTTTTTTAATTTCTATCCAATTTGGGTTTCCATCCTATATTTTTATAAAATAAAATAAAAATAGAAGAGTTTATATAAGAATTTGTAGCATAAAGAGTTTGTATATAAATTTTTTTTACTTTAAAAAGAATTTTTAGAATTTTAATAGTCATAGACATCACAGCCATAGACCAACTGGAATTTTATAATTCGATCCCCAATTGTTATTAAACTAAAATTTTCACAACAATCCTTATACTATTACTAAAAGTACAAGGAGTTTTTAGAGTTTCTATCCAATTTGAGTTTCCATCCTATATTTTTTATTAAAAAAATATAGAGTTTATTTCCATCCTATATTTCCGTAAGACTATAGCATATAGCATATAGAGTTTTTATTTTTTATTTTTTTACTTTAAAAAGAGTATTTAGAATTTTAATACTCATAGATATCACAACCATTGACCAATTGGGTTTATATACTACCCCAATTGTTATTAAACTAAATTTTCCATAACAAATTCTTTCAATTTTTTTTCCCAGAAATTACCTATTGTTTTTCATGCATTAATTAAGTTTATGAGAGTAGAATTAGAAAGAAAATAATAATTTTAATAAAAAAAGGGAATAATTTTTTAAATTTCTAGTTGTTATTAAACTAAATTTTCCATAACAATCCTTCCACTTTTATTTTTTATTTTTTTTTTTGAAAAATTACTAATTGTCATAGATATCCCTGAAGACTTTGAATAATTTGGTAAAGGAAAAGATGATTTTTCATTAACCAATTGTACAAAATATATAGACCTTTTGTGTACGTTAATAACATGGAAATTTGCATAATGAGAAAGAGTAATTAAAAGCGCATGTTTAACGTGACCTTTGACGATCTTCCTTGATACTACCACAATTTGAGGAGTTTGTTTCGTTAACAAACTCTGCATTAACATCACCACAATTATAGAGATAGTTTCCCTTAACAAGTCCCCTCAAGCTGGAAAAGGAATCAATGTGGATTCCCAGCTTGTCGCGAAATAAAATGAACGCTTGTTTGGGCAACGATTTTGTCAAAATATCCGCCGGTTGAGAGGATGAAGAAATGTTTCGTGTAATAAGAGTA